GTTAAATATTCCATATAACCACTACCTGAATAATGGGTTAATTAATGGGCAATATAACACGTGTTCAAGTATTCTAAAAGAGTTCTTAGAAAAAATTCGAATATTTTTGCGCAGTACCTGAAATTACCCTTTTTGGGTTTTTTCCATTTTTTGGAAACCAGTAATGAGTTTTTATTACTTTTTTCTTGTATTTCGTAAAAATAATAAAAATTAATAAAATTTCATTAACAAATTTTATTATTTTTAAAGTAGCATCATAAAATAACACAGTAATTCATAAAAAATAATAAATTCGAATATTTATGTGAGACACTGTATATATGTACAGTGTCTCACATAAATATTCGAATTTATTATTTTTTATGAATTACTGTGTTATTTTATAATGCTACTTTAAAATAATAATATTATTTAAAAATTTTTAATGAAATTTTATTAATTTATATTATTTTTACGAAATACAGGAAAAAAAGTAATAAAAACTCATTAATGGTTTCCAAGAAAATGGAAAAAACCCAAAAAGGGTCATTTCAGGTACTGCGCAAAAATATTCGAATTTTTTCTAAGAACTTTTTTAGAATCCCTGAACACGTGTTATATTGCCCATTAATTAACCCATTATTCAGGTAGTGGTTATATGGAATATTTAACATTATATTTTTTGGAAATTTGCATAATTATGTTGTAAATCCTTCCTGTGTAAGCGTTTAAAAAGTTCAAAGAAAAAGAGTTGATCAATACAAATTAAAAAATTAATTTATATCTGTATAATCAAGGCCGATCAATTAAATACATATAGGAAATGTTTGATATATTCCCATCGACAATATATTTTGTCATTACACGCATGGAACAAAGAATTCCATCGAGTATTTACCATTATCAAGTCGTCCAAAACTGCTGTCAATACAGGACGACAGAGAAATACTGAGGAAATACCGTAGGAACCATCATCTATCAGCTCCAAAAATTAACAACGAACTCAGGACAGTCCTGTGAATAAAAATTAGTGTCGAAATTGTGCGCAAAATACTACGGATATATATATATATATATATATATATATATATGCAGTGTAACTATGAAAGTCAAGGTAAACTATGAAAAGAAACCAAATTTAATAACATATTTTGTGTGCAAAAAAAAAAAAAAAGAAAAATAAATTAATTTGTTATATTGTCTACACAGTCCTTAGGTTTGATATCACGCTTTTTAAAACTTGAAAAATTTACATTTACTTAAATCAAATTAGCTTTTTTTAAAAAAGTCCATAATATTACTTCACAAAAGTATACGAATTTTTCCTGTATTTCATATTTGATCATATTATACGAAACACAAATTTTAGAATCGAATTGTTTTTATGCTTTAAATTGTTTTAAGGGGTTACTATCAACCGAAATGATATAGTATTTTTGGCACATTTGGTCCACAATTTTTGGGGATTTGTACCCTCTTTTTATGTAATATCATATTTTCTCTTTTTTCCAGAGATAAAACCAAAATTTGATATTGGGATTTAATAGACCCCTTGGAGTATATAAAAATAGTATTTTTTGTTACAAGAATCTGTATTTAAACGATCCAAGATATATTATTGACATCATTATTCTGTCGCTAATTCAATATATTGGATATTCAATATATTGAAGTCCATTTTCATAATACTAGGGTCAAAAATTTTCAGGGAAAGTTTTCTTGTATATATTCTCTTAGATATCAGCTTTTATATATTTTAAGTTTTCAATGTATTGTGGAAGTGTACAACTCCAAAACATGCCTCAAAGAAACACCATTCAATATGGTAGAATCATTATTTTTATATACCAATGACCTCCAGGCTGCAAGCCACTATATCATTATGGTATAACTCAAAAATATCGATATCTGTTTAAATATTGATTACTATGATCAAAATAAACCCAAAATTTTGGACTTACAGTTTTATTGTAAAGTTGCGAATAGTAAAAACCGAAATCTACTGTATAGGATGACGTTTTGTAAAGACATGTTTTGGAATTGTATACCGATATAATGTATTGAACATTTAAAATATATTAGTGCTAATATGTACATGAATGTATACTAGCCAACTTTGTCGGAAAATATCGACCCTAGTGGTACGAAAAGGGACTTAAGATCCATACAATTCAATTAGAAACAGAAGAACGATACCAAAAATACATCTTGGAACTTTAAGTACAGATCCTTATAACAAAAATTATTATTTTTAGATACCTCAAGGGGTCTATTAAATCCCAATATTAAAGTTTGGTTTTATTTCTGAAAAAAGAAGGAAAAAAATTGCAAATATGATAAAAAAAAATCGCCATTTTAATGATATTACATGAAAAGATGGTACAAATGCTGCAAAATTGTGGAACAAATGGGCCAAAAATATATAATTTCGGTTGATAGTAAGCCGTTAACACAATTTTAAGCAAAAAACCACTCGATTATAATTTTTGTGTTTCGTATAATATGGTCAAATATGAAATACAGGAAAAATTCGAATACTTTTGTGAGGCAATTTTATGAACTTTTTTTTTAAAATTTAAATCAATTTAGGTAAATGTAATTTTTCCAAATTTTAAAGAGTGTGATATTATACCTTAGGACTCTCTAGACAATATAAAAAATTTAATTGTTCATTTCACACACAAAAAATATTAAATTATGTTTCTTTTCAAAGTACAACCAAATTCGTACAGTGGTGGAACAAGTAATAGAAACGACTTTATTTAGTGGTGAAACTAAATTTTCTCAAAAAGTACCCGTTAGAATTTGATGATTTGTATCTTAAATAAAAGGTATTTTGGTCTACTTTCCTATTATAAATGGTGTTTGTAAGTTTTTTTTGCTCCATCGTATTTTATTGGTATTTAAAAAAATTGGCATTGGAAAAAATAATAGAAACGATTCACAGTATTACACTGGGGACATAAGCTGAGATTTCTTAAATTGCGTTCTGTATTTATTTTTAAAAATTTGAATTGAAAATTATATTCCCAATATCAAAATATAATGTTTCCCTCGGTTCTTTATGTTAACGTGTGTTTTTTTCAACGCCTGGTTGACCATATGAGCTCTGACGGCTGAATTGGGGCCACGACTTTCAAATTTTCTTAAATAAAAAGTTAAAACAGTGAAAGAAATTGCTTAACATTGATAAATTACTTAAAAAATTAGTTCTTGAAAAGATTTCGAGCCGAAGATGTTTTGAATCCGCTTATAGATAACGATAATCCACCGATTTTTGGCCCCAATTTTGAGCAATATTTCACATTTTGGCAATTCAACCCGTTCTTGGTTAAAATGGAGCTTAAATATCAAAGTATCTTGATGGACAGGTAAAACAAGATGAATTTAAAACTAAAATTTCAAGAAATGTAAAAATTTCGAAAATTAATTTTAAATTTAGGTATAGTACTGTTCGGGAATTAATACTAGTATAGACCCAATAAGATCTACTGCAAAAAATAAAATAGAATGTTTTTAACCGAAGGAAATAAAATATGTTTTTTATTTCATTACCTTTTCTAAAATCTAATACGTTTATTTTATGGAAAAAATTACAAAGAATATTCTTTCTGATGTTTTAATATAATAAGGTGCATTTTATCTGAACTTACGGTACAGTAGACTACCTAAAATTCGAACTGAATTTTTAAATTTTTTAGGTTTTGTGAACTTTTTGTGTTAAATTTAACTTATTTTAGCATTATTTCACAAGTCCATCAATATACTTTGATATTTAAGCTCCTTTTTAACCACCAAGAACAGGTCGAATTGCAAAATAGCGAAATATTGCTCGAAATTTGGCCCGAAATTCGGTGGATTGTCCTTATCTATAAGTGGGTTCAAAACTTTTTCTTCTCGAAATCTTCTCAAAAACTAATTTTGTAGATAATTTAACCATTAGAAGACATTTCTTTCAATATCTGAAATTTTTATTTAAGAAAACTTGAAAGTCGGGACTCTGATTCAGTTTTCAGGATCCATATGGTCAATGAAGTTTCGAAAAAACAAATGTTAACATAAAAATTAAAGTAAAAAGTATACTTTTATATTAAGAATTTCATTTATAATTAAAATTTTTAAAAATAAGTACAAAACGTAGTTTAAGAAATCTCAGCTTATGTCCCCAGTGTAATACTGTGAATCGTTTCTATTATTTTTTCCAATGCCATATTTTTTAAATACCAATAAAATACGATGGAGCAAAAAACTTACAAACTCCATTTATCACAGGAAAATAGACCTAAATACCTTTTATTTAAGATACAAATCATCAAATTCTAACGGGTATTATATATAATATATAATATATATAGTAAATTTATATAGAAAATTTAGTTTTCACCCGAAAATAAAGTCGTTTCTATTATTTTTTCCACCACTGTATATAATATCACCATCAGAAAGTTACTTGAACTTTCTTAATACAAATATTAGTATCCCGATGAAATTTTTAATATGTTCTTCAGATGAAAACCAACATCAATTATTTGATTTAATAATAGATTTCAATTCATATTTGATCAAAGTCTTCACAGAAAATACTCTGAATGTGTTTTGACCAGAGACAGAAAATAATTATTTATTTAGTTTATTCATTCTTATACAGAATCCTTGAAATTTTTGCTTAAAAAATCAGTATGAAAGAATCGTCCCAGAAATGTTTTGAATGTACCAAAAGATTTCAAGTGAGTGAAGATAAATATGCCGGGTTAAATACGTTTTTCATGTAAGAGAAAAAAACATCGCATGCGACAAAAAAGTATTTAATACTTGAAATAAGCGTATTTTCACATATTTGTACAGATTTTTACACATACAGGTCTGTCACACATTCCGATAGGAATGGTTCAATTCCGTAGTTACTATTCCGATCGAATTTATTTTGCTTCTTTGGATTCCGATCGAATTTGTAAATCCCTAAATATTTTAAGTTGTCGGCTTTTTGATTTTTGTGTGGCAATGATTAATGTAAAAGAACAGGGAAAAGAAAATACAAAAAATTTAATTAAAATACAAAAATAAGAAAATAAAAAAAATCTCAAAATGCCAGGAATTTCAATTGTTGCAGCAATCAATGCTCAGGAACGTCAAGAATCTGTTGAAAAACTACGTCGGAAAATATTGAGGGATGCTTCAGATCCTCTTTCATATCCCAGTGCAGTGTAAGCAATTTTAAAGTCTTTAATTTATTAAACTAATTCCTGTATCAGATTTGTTAGCTATTACCGCCTCAGCAAGGAGGCTTTTATTATGGTTTTGGAAAAATTGAGCCCACATCTCCAAAGTTCAACAATTCCTGTAATTATACAGTTGTCCACAACACTTAGGTTTCTAGCTACAGGTGCATTTCAAGGCGTTATAGGTATTGATCTCATATTTTTTATGGTAAACCTTCTTCAGTTCAATAATTCATTTCTAGCTAAAGATGTGGATATCAGTTTAGGTAGGAGCACAGTTTCAACAATAATGTGGAGAGTAATAAATGCAACTGAGAACATAATATGCCCACAATGGATAAAGCTTCAAATGTCAGCAGATGAAATACAAAATTCAAAAGCTCATTTTTTTAATAAATTTCATGTACCAGGGGTAATAGGATGTATTGATGGTACGCACGTCAAAATGAACAAGCCATCAGAAGACGAATCTTTATTTTTAACAGAAAAGGATCATTTAGTGTTAATGCTATGATCGTAAGATAGATTTTTCATTAGTTTTCTTCTTAATAAGTAATATTATGTTGTTTAAGATATGTGATTACAAAATGAAAGTCTGTGCTGTGGATGCATGCAGACCTGGGTCTTGCCATGATTCGTTCATTTGGAATATGAGCAGAGCACGAACTTTTTTTCTGAATAATTATTCCAATGGAAATAAAAATTCATGGCTATTGGGAGATTCCGGCTATGGTTTAGAGCCATTTTTAATCACGCCATACAAAAACGTAACAATTGGAACGTTAGAGCACAAATTTAACCAAAAGCATGCATCAGCCCGCAATATTATAGAACGAACAATTGGGGTATTGAAAAGCCGATTTAGGTGCTTGCTTGGGACATTGCAATACACTCCACAAAAAGTTGTAAAGATAATAAATGTGTGCTGTGCTTTACATAACATTTGTAGAGAGTACAACGTAGAGTATGAGGATATTATAACGACGAACGAAAATGACGAGAATTATGATGAAGATGTAGAGGAGATATCTGGTAGAGATATGTTTAATGTTGCCCAACGAATAAGAAACAATATTGCTGCTCAATTGAATTAAAAACAGTGTTTAAAACAATTCAAGTATTATTATTATTTTAAATTAAATTAAAAATACTATTTAAAGAAACATTTTTGGAATCCATATGTACTTTAAAATAAGATTTCAATCATATGAGATCATTTAGAATTCAGAAGCTATAGGGAATTATTGACGCATTGATTTTTTGCGTTCTATTTCAAGTTTTAAAGATTCTATTTCTAATAATTTTAACTTCAATTCATTTTTCTCTTTTATCTGCTTTTGAGTTTCCTTATCATTTATTTTTCTGTCAGTAAAATGACTTTCCAAGATATTACATAGCCTATCTAATTTTTGATTTTGGCATCTTATTTCATCGCGTTGTTCTTCCATTAAATTAACTATAGATTTTAAGTAATTGTTTTCTTCTGCCAGAAGTTTATTTAAATCTGGTGTTAATGGTGTATGAGGATTGCATGGAGTTCGTGGTCTTTTACGTTTAGGGTCAGGAGATGTGTTAGGCAAGGTCGCTTCTTTGATGATATGGTTGTATTTTTGTCTGCGTGTTCCTGATTTTCTAAAGCACTCCGAGGTGTTGAAGGTGCTATAACGTCTAAATCAGTTGAAGTTTCCTTATTAGAATCACACAACAAATTTTCTAAAACTGTTTCAGCAAAATCTTTGGATCCAACTAAGCCATCTACAGCTCTATAAATTCCTGTCAGCCTTGCTACCGATTCCTCTACATCCGATAATATGTATTTGTTGAATTGACCACCACCAGTTTTTTGGTTTTCTTTTTTATTGTCACACAATTTGTTTTTCACATACACCTTCCAATCAGCCCATGTTTTTTTCCAACCATTGCAATCCTTGGAAGGAGGCCCAGAGGAATTCAGTTTTTCCGTTAATTCTATCCATAGTGCCTCTTTTGTTACTCGGTCTCCCTTGACATACCCTTTGGCTATATCTTGATGTTGCTCCATAAAATCGAGGAAAATCTTTTCCTGTTCAGGATTTCTATGTTTTCCCCTAAAGAATTAAAAATGAATAACATTTTCAAAATAATTTTAAATTTATCTTACATTTTAAATTACTTTTCTTTTTGTTTTGTTTTGTCTATGCTTTGTGTTGCCAGTATGTGAAATTCTATAAAACTCTTAGATTTACTATAGAAGAAAATGTGGTTTGCTCAAAAAAAAAAATTGTGGCAATACTACATTCCTAAAAGCAATTTTTGTTGAATTTTGTTTAAAAACTTCTAATTTTGTAATAAAATATACAAACATTTAAATAAAGTGCAATATAATAATGAAAAACAGTGTTCAAATGGTTTATATTTAAAGTTTCATAAGTTTTCTTTCATGTTAAATAATTAAAAACATCAATTCCACTTTCAAAACTAAAAGTGGTTTCATTCCGAAAAAAAATTTCGTTTTACTTATTCTGAAGAAGTAAAATACGGAATTAATTCCACTTTCGATCGGAATGGAATTCTGTGACAGGCCTGATAATTGTAAAAATAATGCACATATATCCTTAAAATTATAATTTTAAATTGCAGATAAAAACACTTTAAGAAATTCATTAAGTTATATGGCAAATATAAACCCTTCTATCTTAAAAATATGCAAAACACAAAGTCATCGAACTATCGAAATATGCAGAAGTTTTATCAAATACAAAATTTTTAAAGTTTTTGAAAATAAGTGTAAAATTATTAGTTTATGAGAGATGTGATCAGTGTACTTTCGCATCTCGGAGTACGCAACCCAGTGAAAAATACAGGCAATCAATTATACTCTTAAAAATTCTGAGTTCTTACAGTGACCACTATTTTTGAAAAAATATTTTTTTCATATATGAGTTCTTGGAGGGATGTGGTCACTGTGACCATATCCTTCGACCTCGGAGAGTGTAAACCAATGGAGAGCATAACCCATAGTTTATGCTATCTAACTGCGTTTTTAGTTTTTCCAAATTGAGTTTGTGGAAATTTATAAGATTTTTTGAAAATTTTATTTTTTCATATATGTATGAGTTCTTGGAGGGATGTGGTCATTATGACCATATCCTTCGACCTCGGAGAATGAAAACCAGTGGGGAGCATAACCAATAGTTTATGCTATCTAACTGCGTTTTTAGTTTTTCCAAATTTATTTTGTGGAAATTTATAAGATTTTCCGAAAATGCAATTTTTTCATATATGAGCTCTTGGAGGGATGTGATCACTATGACCATATCCTTCGACCTCGGAAATTGAAAACCAGAGGAGAGCATAAATAATATTTATGCTATCTAACTGCGTTTACAGTTTTTCCAAATTGAGTTTGTGGAAATTTATAAGATTTTTTGAAAATGTAATAGCTTCATATAAAAATCCTTTGAGGGATGTGGTCACTATGACCATATCCTTCGACCTCGGAGAATGAGAACCAGTGGAGAGCATAAACCATAGTTTTTGCTATCTAACTGCGTTTTTTTTTTTCATACACACTGTTTTTTTTTTTTTTTTTCTCGGGGGAGTTTTCCAGATTTTTTCCTACCGAGCGCGTCCCCGGGTGGCGGATAGGGGGTGGTGATGGACCATCTGTCCTCTCCCAGCTTTAATTTCACTTAAGCTGAGGGAGGGCAGATTGTCCACCACCTGGGAATATTATATTCCCCGCGGACCAAAAAACTGGAAAAAAAAAAAAAAAAAACAAATATGGAAAATAAAAATGAAAAGATAAAAGTTACGGTGCAGGGCCTAAATAACCCAGTACCGGCGGCAAGTGTTGATCTACTCGCGAGTCACGTGTCGTCGTCATCCTGCAATCGTGAGCAGAATACTACTACGGAGGTGGGTACCTTGGCCTCCGTGGCGGACAATGCGTCAAGTGTACAGCATGCCGCTGGCAAAAATATAGGGGTGAAAGAGAAGGATGTACTCGGAGAGAGCTCTAAGCTACCTCAGCCTTTAAATATAGGTGAGGGTTCCGACTCTGAATCCTCAGATGATAATAAAAATAATACCATTATAGCAAATCCCAAAAAGGATGAAGTAGAGCAAATGGTGAAAGAGGTGAGTGATAGCATAGCTAAACTACCTATTACTAAGAAAAGACTTTCTGGAGCACAGAGGAGGAAGTTGAAAAAGATGCTTCAGGAAATCATAGTTAGTCAATCCCACGACACTCCAAAGGAAAAATCGGACTCTCTCACAAGATCTGAGGCAAAAAGGATCAGGTCTCCCGAGGAGTTGACAACTGAGAATAAACCTAAGAAGAAAAAGAGCTCCCCGTCTTCTAATACACAGTCGAAGCCAAGCCATACTTCACTCAAAGGAATCTCAAGTGAGAATCCTGCGAGTAAGGGTGACAACGCCAAGCCAGATATTCCGAAGACGAACACGTCGGCGAAATCAACCTCGAAGGTAAGGGAATCTCAAAAGAAGCCCCGAAAAACGAGGAAGGAGAAGCTAGACGGAGGAAAAGGAAAAGAGCCGCCATCTTACGCCAAAGTTGCCAGAAGTAGGCACCGGGACGATCTCTGCTATGCAGTTTACGATGCCGGTAATCCGACAGGCAAAATTCCAATAGACCAACAGAGTAAAATAGAAGACCTGGTCAACAATAAGATAGTGGACCATGCAATCGCTTCAAAGGGCAAACAACCAATAGAGAGCGAGAGCTGCGAGTTCAGCATGGGCGTGATGTTGATGAGGTTGGCATCTCACCAATGTGTTAGCACCCTAAAGAACTTGGTGGAAAGTATCCCTCCTCCCTGGGACGGCGCTAGGCTGGGACTGGCAAAGAAGAGCGAGCTTCCGGTGCTCCTAAAGTCCACTGTCTACATAAAAGGATGGGGCAGTAAACTGGCTAATGAACGTATACTGGAAATTCTTGGAGGTCAAAATGCTGAGCTGGCCGTGGAAAAATGGGATGTCTTTTACAGGAAAGAAGAACCTGAGGGAACTTTATTTGTAATAGGTATCGACCAGGTACCAGGTACCAAATATGGAAAATAAAAATGAAAAGATAAAAGTTACGGTGCAGGGCCTAAATAACCCAGTACCGGCGGCAAGTGTTGATCTACTCGCGAGTCACGTGTCGTCGTCATCCTGCAATCGTGAGCAGAATACTACTACGGAGGTGGGTACCTTGGCCTCCGTGGCGGACAATGCGTCAAGTGTACAGCATGCCGCTGGCAAAAATATAGGGGTGAAAGAGAAGGATGTACTCGGAGAGAGCTCTAAGCTACCTCAGCCTTTAAATATAGGTGAGGGTTCCGACTCTGAATCCTCAGATGATAATAAAAATAATACCATTATAGCAAATCCCAAAAAGGATGAAGTAGAGCAAATGGTGAAAGAGGTGAGTGATAGCATAGCTAAACTACCTATTACTAAGAAAAGACTTTCTGGAGCACAGAGGAGGAAGTTGAAAAAGATGCTTCAGGAAATCATAGTTAGTCAATC